CTTTTAAAATCTTAAATAAATAATTATAAATGCAATTATAATTTTAATTATCAAGACCTCAGTTTAATTTCAAAAATTAATTCAAGAAAAAAAATTAATTAACCCAACAACTTCCTTTTTACACTTCAATTCCAAATTAACTCTTCAACTTTAATTATATCAAATTCATTGATACACTTAAATTAATTTAAAAAATTCAAGTGAAAAAGTTGAAGCTCGATAAAATTGAATTAATATACTCTCAATTTCTTGTACTTAAATTAATATACTTTCAATTTCTTGATAAGTACAGTACATATAATTCTTTATCAAAATAAATTCTCCATATAAAAATATTTAATAACACTCTAATTTTATCAAATTTCTTACTAATTGTTTTCAAATTCCACTTCAATTACTATATAATAATGTAACATCTACATCTATATATTATTAAAGTTGAAAATAATTTACCCAAAGATCTAATCTGACTTTTACTTTAATTACAAAATATAGTTAGTGTAAATACACATTATATTATATTCAAAGTAGCATCTCACAAATTAATTCTTATTTACTCAATTATTCTAGGACTAAAAAAATAATGAAGCTATAAATAATTTTGGATAAATGTATTTCTTAATAATAATTACTAAAATATCTAGAATTATAATGGATACAAATTGCAGTATGTACAATCAATGTATAGCAACTTGATAGTGACTATATTGACTTAAAAAACCAATTTGAAAGGTACAAAATGGGTTCTAAATGAATCATTTAATCGTAAATGGAAAGTAAGAGCAATTACAAGGAAACGTAAAAATAAAGAAAGAGCATCTATGAGAAACCTAAAAAAGCTTTGACATTCTCTTTGTAAAAAATCTAAACTACTGAAAAATTACAAAAATGGAAAGTAAAAGCCCTTATGAGATAAATTGGGGTAAAAATAGTATATAGTAATAAATAGAGATGTAAAGAGTGATTAAAAAAGAATAATATTAAAAAATAAGAATAAAGGAGAAATAATAATAATAAATAAATTATTATATATAGAGAGATTATGAGTGTGAATCAAAGTAGTCAATACCGTACCGGTATGCGTACCGATTTTGTTACTGGAATGGTACGTACCGGATACCGAAATTTTTCGCGTATCGTTTCGGATTTATCGCTATAAATATATATTTTTATAAATTAAATATCAAATTTTAAAATAAAATAAGAGATATTAATA